ATCACACTAGTTAGCATTCTTTAACAAGCACAAGTTAAGTTTGGGGATACCTAATAGATAACAGATGCATGACTATATTATTCAAGCTAGATACCACATGGTTTGGGTACATGAACAAAGGGGCATAATGCACAGCCTGCAAGATCAACATGTATGCAAACACAGTAGGCAAATGTGCAGAGTGACTACATAACTAAATTTCTACCTTTGTCTCTAAGCACCATCTTGAACTACATTTCAAAAGATACATTAACTTACTGGTGCCGAAGGAGGTTTTATTCTGGCCAAAGCTGAAGCCAGTATTTGTAGCTGAGGAACCAAAGAGTCCAGCAGCAGTGCTGGGAGTAGCTGCCCCTGTAGTCCCAAACAGGCCACCTGTGTTGGCTGCCATTGGGTTCGAGGGCCCCTTTCTGCCTGCTTGGTAGTCCTCCAACCTCAGCTCCTACAAAGCAAAGATGCAAGTGCTGAGCTCAAATACATCAACCTAATAGTAATCAAATTCAAATATAGAGAACTATAATGAAAAATGCTGTAGGCGTTGCTACTCACCTCTAAGGATTTGTTTTCGTACTCCTTCATGGCTGTGATGCATTGGTGTTTGGTGTTAATGCTGGTCGTCACACCGCTCTTGACCATTGTGTCACTTCCAGTTGGTGGCTTCACAAGGTATTAAAAAAAAAATTACGGTTAAATAAGGAAACCCTCATGCACTTCCTAGAACATATCAGAACGATGCAGAACAAAGCAAACCATACAAAAGTAGATGTGACCTACATTAAATTTGATTGTTGTGCCAGGCTGTGTAGCAGTGAAACCTGACGAACCAAACAGGGACCCTGAGGTGCCTCCAAATGGATTGGAAGTGGTGCTGGTGGTCCCAAACAGCCCGCCACTACTGGTACTGGTGCCAAAAGCTGCAAAGCAAATTTCACAACCACCGCAGTTAATTTACTTATTATCATTACATTTCTGGTTGCCACTCATCACACTTATTCATCTGAACTTACTGCCAAAAGAGGCAGGTTTATTGGCACCGAATGCATTGCCCTGCTGGGAGAAGAGTCCTCCACCTCCAGTGTTGGTGCTTCCAAAAAGACTGTTGGAGGTGCCACTGGCAGCACCAAACCCAAACCCACTGCTGGTAGAGGAAGTGACAGGCTGACTGAACGTGCTGGACCCAAAGAGCCCACCTAGACAGAACAGAAATCATGTTTAGAAGTTGTCTAATTAAATCTGAATTCAATTTAACACCACCATCCCCTGGTGTTCCAGTGTGTCATCTTGCTGTTATTCATATTAAGATTCAATGACTATGTAATTACGCAAACATACGTCTAGCAGTCAGCACAAGAATCCAATCTGTATATGCCTCCTACAATATCTACATCACTAGATGTGCTTGTATGCCTATATAAAAATAAACATATACTAAAAGTTTTTGGAAAAAGCTGTTGAGGTAATGCTGACAGTTTCTCAGCCTTTCAGTGCAGAAAAACAATGTGCTTTCAGTTCTGATGTAAGTAGCTGATTATCTTACGAATAATTTATTACATCTCAATCATTGTGATACCCAACAGCTTCAAAGAAACAAACGAGCAAAAAAAAAACATGTTTTATGTCAATATTGTACAGCCCTACACAGCAGTAGTATTTAGATAAAACAGCATACCAGGTTTGTTCTGAGTTGCCCCAAAGAGACCTCCTGTGTTGTTTGTGGTCCCAAAAGCAGAGGAGCCAAAGCCACCTGTTGTTCCAAACCCACTGTCTGGAAATTTAAAGCAAAACAACAGATTTCTGAGCTGCCCCTATACAGGCATATTTCCACTGTTGATAGGATGTGCAATTGATGCAATTCTGAAACAACCCATTTTGTAAGACAAAACTGACATCAGGCACTACTGACACTATTTTTGAAAAATACTGGACAAAAGGCGAATCCAGTCTTTGTTACTTTGAACCTTAACAAATATTTCAAAACTAATTCATGCCTCGAAAACATTTCATTCAGTAGGCTTTCTGCCATGCAAATGTATACCACTAATTTTAATCCCTGCACACTTACATTTCTTTTGTCGATTATGAAGACAAAAAGTTCTAGTAAAAGATTTAGTAAACCATTTAAGTTGCAACTTTGTCTTAATCCCGTGTCTTCTCAGAGAAGGCATTCAGACGACCTAGTAAAAATCTTAGTCATTCTCAACTTACTTTGCTGTCCAAACGTGGATGAAGTCCCAAATCCTCCTGTTCCTCCCCCAAAGGGGGCACCAAACGACTTGTTGAACATCTTTTGCTGCTATAGACCCTGCATATGTCTGCCCAAAAGACAAATAAATATTTATTTAAAAGAACGTTTCTAAAACATTTTTCATGATGTGTCACACTTACACAAATAAACGGATTTAGCAAGAATATATGTAGCTAGAGCTCTTCTGTAGCCAATAGCCAGCAGAGGTAAAGTACAAAGTCACACAAGTAAACGCACTTTCATTTCAAAAATCACCAAAGTTTTGGAATCCTACACATTTTCACACACAGGTCAGTTACTGTCACATTCAAAGTTAGCTGGTTAATATTTTGACTATGTTTGAAATAAAGCCATTCGGCCATCTAACGTTACCTGTAACAACCAAAACAGTGTACTGATCAGTTTAGTTCGTTAAATCGTTCACTATTCACTGCACAGCTCCTTGCTACATAACGTGTGAGTGAACTGGTTAAAGAATGACAATTAAACTAGAGGATTTAATGTAAGACAAACGCTGCTACAGCATGGCTCACACTACAAAATGCACTTTTTTCTGTAAAATGGAGCGATTACACAGCTGACCTGTAACTAAAATGTAATTTTAATGCTTTTAAAAGTTAGCCAGCTTTCTGACGAGGCCGAAGCTAACTAGTTAGCTTCCTACTCGCCAGCGTCTTATTTTTCCATTCCACCTTTAAATATGGCAGCAGTTGCATTTTTGCCCCTGTACCATTTAAGGTGGAAAGGTAAACTGAAATAAGAAGGTAACTTAAGCTTCGTGCCAATCTGACTAACCAGGCAATAACTGGTGCCAGTTAGATAATCGTGGGCGCCAGAAACAGGCCTAATGATAGCAACGCCGCTGTGCTGACTGACGGCTCGTGCTGCCTGGCATAGCAACATTAGCTAAATACGTTAGACAACATTGGTATCACTGGTTTCAGATACGTCACTGAAACAACAAACACTACCTGTAATTTAATTACCGGCCTGAACCGCTCAAAAACGTGTATTGTAACCGGATTTATCCTGAGAAAACCAGTGTGCGCAAATATCCGCCGGCCAAAGCCAGTTTCGTTTTGCTGTAACTCGTTCTGTTTGTTATGCTGCAGCTCTTAATTTAATGCACTTAGCGTCCCTGGTGTGGAATAATGCATATTTACGTTTTATATTACTTTTATCAGATTCACGTACTTAGACAAAACAAGCGAAAACACTTAGATACACAACGTTAGCGGCACCGACATCATGTGCTTGTGAACTAGCCGTCTAACCTAGCTACCTCGCTGACGTGAGCTAGCTAAATTAGCTTTTAGCTGACAAATGTGGACAACTTCTGGACATGTCTTTAACAATATAAGGAAATCCCGAAGTTGTAGACCATACTTGTATAAAATATACACTGACTGACCGGGGGAGCATAACTATGTAAGAATTACCATCCAGTACAGCGGAACTTTTGAATTCCACACGCCTTAACTCGCTGGCTAATCAGCTACCGCGCTAGCAGCGAAGATTCAAAATGTGATTTCGACAACAAACAAACGCCGTTCAGATACTCACCGTATACGCTGCGGTCGCTGCTCTCAGCAAGGTTCGTAAGTGCTTCTCTTGGTCTCCTCAGATGGTGGATGTTTCATAGGACTGTTTGCACACAGTTTAAGTACGCCGTTTACTCGGTTTCAGGTTTCAGACATTTGGCTAACTTGTGTCGAAGGAGGGAAACGTAGTTAGCAAGCAAAGCTAAGCTATTAGCAGCTTAGGTCATAACTCGTCATCAGACGTCACCACGTTCAGCACGAATTGTGTCCATCTCCCACACACCGGATGCTTTTAATGCATTTTTTACAAGTGAAAATGAAGTGGACAACAACCTTAATAGGTCAAAACAGATACATTATTGTGTGAAACGGCTTTAGAAAATGCTTATTTATCCAATTATCTCCTCGCTCACATTTACGCGTTATTTAAAGAATGCTAAAACTTTAATAAAAGTTTAATACTAGCATCAGATTTTCTCCACTGATTAAACATAATTCTTAGAGTTGATTTTTTTTAATATCCTACATTTCTTATGCATTTTCCAACCTCTCTTTATCCCTTAAAATTAAACAAGCTACTGCTGTTACTGTGCCTTTACGCCTGATATATGTAAATAGTCTGCGCTTAAACACGGTGCCCGACGCTTACTGGTGCCGACTTGCCGCTTTTTACGTAACGGGGCAAAATAAGCCGTTTATTTTGAGTGTCAGTGGCGCTTTTACCGACTCTTACATACACGGAGTAGCTTTTCTTCAATGAAGACAAAAATGGCAATAGAAGCTGTTGTAGATGCCCTTACTGAGGTCGAACTGCCACTTTAGGATTCAGAAAGTTTAAAGTTTATGTATGAATGTTTGATGCATGTATTTCTTTGTTTGTGCATCAGGATTCACAAGTTTATTATTCATAACATCAATAATATCAGGTACAATGGGGTCTCAGTTTTTGATGGCCTTGATTCAGTTTCCAAATCCAGCTCTTCTTGGATTAAAATCTGGTGAGTTGGATCAATCACTCATACGAATTATTAATTACAAATTTAATTATATGCTTCCCATATCAGATAAACTGAGTGTCAAATTATGTGTGTATATATATATCTATATACGTGTGTGTGTATAATTTCATTTTAAGTCAATGACGTAGACATCAGGAGTGCGGGCTTCGTAACAGAGTATGAGTAGAACGTCATCGCCCGACTCGAATATATTCGACAGGTCGGCCATTCTTCTCTCTCTCTCCCTCATACTGAGCAGTAAGGAGGACTTGTGCGGTAAAATGATTCACGGCGCCATAAAAACGCGAGTTGATCGATTTGGTAATAAGAAAAGGATCGATGAAATATTCCTCGCTCATGACTGGTCTCTTTCCGAGCGCACGAGCTGATATGACGTTTATTTTGTGAGGAGTTGTGAGAAACACGTGGATGCATGGAGCCTGTAACGCTGTCCGAGGTGAGTGTGGAGAGAAACGGTCTTAATTTGTCTAATGTTCAGTTGAACGTGTGGTAAAATTTCACATGTAGGCGCTGAACTTCTGGAAGCATGTTGTGCCTTATTTTGGTGCTCCCTTTGTCCACACAGGACTCTCGCCTTACTGGCCTGGCCTTCCTCCAGAGCCCCAGCAGTGTGAAGAGCAGGGGAGGGAGGAGACGAGTGGCTCGGACTTAGTTGAAGTAAAAAGGTGAGAAACTGAAGGGTGTTAAAGTGAACTCTTGGGGCTAGTTTGATTTGATCATGTCTCTGTGATGAAAACCTTGAATAGGAAGTGCCGTCTTATGCGACAACTGACGATTTTTTTTTTTACCTTAGTTAATCTGAGAGACCTAAATAAACACCTATAGTACCGGCTAATGTTATGCAGTCTTGTAATAGTCCTTTTTTCTTACAGGGCAGAGAGGTGTTCCTGGATCTCGAATCAACAGCTCACCTTTACTTGTGTTAACAAGGCAAGTGATGGCGCTACTTTGGCTTAACCTCAAATGACTCCGTAAATATACAGAGCCCCATGAAAGTGCAGGTAAAGGGGAATTCCATGTAATTTAATGGTTTGGAGGCAAACGGTCAGAGTGGTTATGTGGAATGGACCACTGTGCATTCATTACATTCTGTGGATACAAATAACCTGTATGGTGTCTAATAACTTAAACTTAACAAATTAATTCATAGTGTTCAATTAAAGGTAAAATGTCCCCTAAAGAAAACCCATTCAGATTTCCCACTATTTAGCTTCACGTCAGATTTGTAGGTTCACTTGTTATGTGATGTTAAATAAAAATTGTACTGTGTACATAGTGATTTTGGTTCCCATCGCCAAGTTGTAAATACAGTGTACCATTTTGGATCACACCTCTGTGACTGTTTCTCAATCAATGAATTAGACCTAAATGTTATGAATTATAATAGATGTTTGAGTGACAAAATAATGATTGTATTGGGGGCCCCTATATGTCCCATCTTATATGGACCTATCTTATTGCATGACTCTGCACTTTAGATAATATGGATCCATTTAAGATTTGGTTGGAATCCAAATCATAAATGGATCCATATGGTTGATTGGCTGGTGTTGTGATGAAACCCAAACTGAATTTAGCTGGAATTACCGGCAGAATGTTCAGTGGTGATCGTCGGTTTTCTGAACACTTTTACTGACTCCTTAAATACTTGAGTGTATTTGATCTGTTATTAACTTTTTGTTCAATTGTTTGCAGATGGTGTGGGAGCACACTGCATGGCAAGGTAAATGTACAGCTCCTGCTGCTTACTGTCCAGTAAACCCTTTGTGATGAAAACAAAACTGAGAAGCTGGAATTACCGGCAGATTGTTCAGTGGTGACACTCAGTTTATCTGATATGGGAAGCATTCAAAATTAAAATTGTAGTAATTTGTATGAGTGGTTGATCCAACTTGTTTTTCTCACCAGATTTTTAATCCAAGAAGAGCTGGCTTTGAAAACTGAATCAAGACTGCATCAGAAACTATGACCCTGTTGTACCTGATATTATTGCTCTTGGTTGATGTTATGAACAATAAACTTGTGAATCCTGATGCACACTTGTCTTGCTTGTTGATTGTGGTTATTTAAATGAAAAATGTTCCCCAAAGAAAACATTTCAGATTTCCCACCATTTTAATATTTAACATGACAAAGTCAGATGTGTATGTTCACTGGTGCGAGTTTAGGTACTCTAAACCTGGGAGACTCATTTTTAAAAACTGCACCAAAAACACTTAAAGGAATAATTTGACAAATTTGCACAGCTCTTCCTCTTCAAATGGAGCTGATCAGCCCAAGCATTAGTAATTGAAATTCACTTCTTTAGTTTTGTACTGGTGCTATTACAATAACAAATAATGAACAATAAAACGCCAATAATTGGCATAGTGCAAACCACATGCCAAATTCACAGGCTTGCTTCAGTGTCAAGTTCTCAAATGGCCTTCATGTGGCTTGATTAGAGTTAATAACATTAGCTGATGTTTTAACATAATTCATCATAATAGTGGCAACCTTGATGTCTAATCCTCCTGACCCTCTGCAGAAAGATGAGTGTGAGAACAGGAATAATGACTGTTCTATATCCATATAAGGATACACCTTCATGCTGTTCACTAATGAGACAAAGTTTCTCAGAACAACTTTAGCAAAAATTACCCACAATTATTTATCTTTAATTATCATAACACTCAGGTATTATTTACTGTACAGCTCTAGAAGGAATAGCAACTGCAGTGAAATCTAGACTAATATTTGAACAGGTTCATTTACACTTCAACACTTCGCTCAAACTCTTGTTCAGGTACCAACATCCAAATATCCACAATATGTGTAATGATCACAGTAAAGCACAGTTGCATATGTTAGTCATCCTCTTTCTCAATGTAGGGCTTTGCAGCCGATCGAGCCATCTGTCGGGCCAGATACCTCTCCCTGGCGGAGCTCACAGTCTGTTCACAACTGCGTTTTGCAAATTTGCTGGGTGCCTGTGCTGCCTCACTTTGAGTGCCATTTTCAGCCTGGGTGCCCTTTTCTTTCTCCTTCCCCTCTCCTTGGGTCTTCTTTTCCCTCTCTTTTTCTGCATCCTTTCTTTTCTCTTTGTCATCTGTTTTGTGATGGTCTCTCTCCTTGTGTTTGTCTCGATCCCTCCCTTTCTCTCCGTTCCTGTCATGTTCTCTGTCTTTTGGGCTGCCCTCTGCTCTGTTCCTCTTCCCATGTCTGTCCTCTTTGTCTCTTTCCTTGTCCCTTCTTTCTCGGCCTCTCTCATCCTCCCTGTCTCTTCTTTCTCGTCCTCTGTCGTCGTCCCTGTCTCTTCTTTCTCGTCCTCTGTCGTCCTCCCTGTCCCTTCTGTCTCGTCCTCTGTCTTCCTCCCGGTGTCGGTCCCTCTCTCCTCTGTGATCCCTGTCTTCTTTTCGGTGGCCATGCTTGTCTTCTCTATCTCTATCCCTCGCTCTGTCCCTCTCTCTTTCTTTGTGACACCTCTTCTCTTTCTCTGGTTTCCTCTCCTCTCGTTCATCACTGCCTGAGGAAGGAGATCTCTGGCGGTAGTGCCTCCTAGAGTGGCTGCTGTTGACACTTGTCTTGCTAAACTCTGGTTTTGAGGTCCTTTGGTCCTCATCAGTGTGGGGTTCCTCCTCACTGTCATTGGCTTGTTGTGGAGAGTTCACAACCGGAGACTTTTCTTCCTTAGATTTCTCTGGCCTGTGACAAAGTACAGGTTTCAGTAGGTTATTACAGTTGTGCTTCCTTCAATTACAAAGATGGTCATTAATGCTGATATGTTGCATACAGTGTTTCGTAAGTCTCAGTCCTACAAAGGTGCAATTAGACATTTTTTTTACACCATCATACCTTAAACAATTTTAAAAGACTTAAATACAATCCATTTTGCTTTTTAAACCAGTCATAATGAGCCACACTTTTGGCACTAAGTGGCCACTGTCCATAACTAACCTTTCAGCACTCCGATCAGGAATAGCTTCCTCTCCAACTGTCTGATTCAAGAGATGTCTGTAAAATCCACTAAGGTCCTTCTGCTTCTTTACATCCAAGGCAGCTGGGGGAAGGAAAATAAATACCCAAAATTAAGTTAATTTCCCCTTAATGCATCTTTTAAAAGTTATCATGAATGTTAAAAATTAACACTTAAGCATAGAATTGTGTATTAAAATGTAATAAAAATTTTTGAAGTTAGTCATAGGTGTTGGGGGAGGGGGGGGGTGGGGGCGGTTGGATTACACATTGATAACACCGGTGTAATCCTGCACCAAGGGTCATTTACTATATATCTCCAGAAGGTTTTCAGCAATGTTCAAGAAATTATTGTTTATGAAAGACAGTTTTTAACAATGGGAAAGCTTTGGCGTGACAAGATCTTACCTTCTATCTCTGCTGCTCTTCTCTCCTTCTCTAACTCTTCTTGTCTCTCTTTGAGCTTCTGCCTGTATGCTGACGTGACATATGCTTCTTTATCAGCAAACTTTTCCCCCTCTGCCTCTCTTTCCTTCTGGATCTTTCTTTCTTCACGCCGTTCTTGTTCTTTCTTTCTCTCTTCTACAGCACGCATTAGCTGGTTTATGTACTTGGGCTAAAAGGTTAAAACTAATCAGTCTGGTTCAGCTTCTACTATATTTGATGCAATCACAGCTTATATACACATTAAAAAAATACAGCTACATTGTGCTGTGAAAAATCAGGAAATGGAAGAAAGAAAGTAAACATTCAATGTCCTTGGGTATATTTCATAATATAGATATAAAAGCATATGAATGGCTAAATGCTGTTTAACATAAAATATAAATAAACTACCATACTGCTATAAATATCAATTACATTTAATCAACCATACCTTTTTGTCGGTACCTCCTAGCAGTTTCTTATTGCTCTCAAATTTCTGTTTCTGCATGTCATCATACACATTGTCATACTCATAAACACTGCTGTCCTCTTCCAGAGCCTTCTGCATCTCAAGACGGGTCTAACATGGGTGTCAAAATTAAAAAGTATTAATATACAGATTCCATACTTAGGTGGCATATTAGTAGGATTCAGCTCTAACTATCAGATGACTTGAACCGTTTATGACAAATGTTTTGTGCCAGAAAAACAACTCTTTAAAGGAGGAGGGCTCATTCTACAGAGGCTAGACTGCTCTTAATCTCATTCTTACCTGCTTCATCATTTTCTTTTTGATTGCCTCCTTCTGTAAAGTCTCACCAACAGAGGTCTGTGAATGAAATAATGAAAAATAAAAAGTGTTGAAGCACAGTCAGGATTCTGAATGAGCCCAAAATATGAGGTAAGGAAGGTGGAATATTGTATATTACTTCCTCATCCGAGTCATCTCCAAATATAGAAGGTCGTGGGAGCGAGGCGGATTTGGAAGTGCTTTTCTGAGGTAATATGAGCCCATACCTAAAATCGAAGTAGAGGGGAAAATAGCAAGAAAAACATTTAACGCAGCGATTTTAAGCTTCACAAATTTTATATTTACCTGTTTTATTTTTGTCATTTACAATACCTCACGGTTTTTACTATCTAGGTCAGTTAATTGGCACTAATTTGTGGAATGGCCTTGTAATCCGTCTGGATCACCGACATTCAACTTCAGTCTTTAAATACTCACAAATGAAATAAACGTCAGGGTAACGTGTTAGCTTGCTAGTCGCAACAAACTAACGCATTTTAAAGTTATCATGTCGCATATTTATCTATGTAGTTAGTTATTCCCATTAACAGGCAGTAAAATGTTGTAAATGGTTTTGGAAAGTGTAACTAAGCTAAGCTGCCTCGGTAAAGCGCGCAGGCTGCTTTAGCCTTGTTAGCTAGCCATTTTGGCTCCGCTATACCGAGTTAAACCAAAAGATCTCGTAACAGAAAATAATTGGCTTAAATATCTATATATAAACATTTAAGTCAGCTTGTGTAATTTGTATTAAGCTATTAATACAGTCGCAACATAGCGCATAAAATGTACATTTCCACTTTAATTTACTGGTAAGCTACTCACTGTTTACCGCCGGCGGCTGCCATTTTGCCTTTGACACTATCTGACGAACTAGAATCGCAGTTTCGCAAAAGTAACGCCGAAATATACAGTTAGAAATGTTTTAGGCATTTAGAGTTTAAATAATGTAAACCATCAAACCGATAAAGTGTTATTAACTAAATAGAAATATCTTTACGTGATCCACGTGAAGAAAGCATTATGTTTTAGCTTTTAATCCATATTTTGATGTCAAATATTTCATTTAACATTAGCATTAAATGTTATTAATGCTAGTAAAACATTGACACTTTAAAAAATCTAATTCTAACATGTCAAAATTCAACTTTTACTAGCAGACAATATTATAATGTTATAGTTATAGTTATATCATGTTATTATATTATAGATATCTAATGATAGTTATATATAATGATAAAATATAATATTTCATAAAAACATAGCAGGTAAAGGTATAGTTCTCACCAGTAAGAATTCATGGCATTTCACAATTCACGTGATAATAAGTTAAAATCGAATTCTCGAAACTCGAATTTTGTTCATATATGTACAAGTTAAAGCTGAATTTGGACGTTTGGTTTTTTGACGTGTCAGTTGAATTTTGACGTATTAGAATCAGATTCTATTCATTTAGTAACTTATTTCTTTTTCAAATGGAATTTCTAATATTCATTTTTTGGATGAAAGGCTAAAACGGCTTTCAGAAGAGGGCTATGTTCCCCCAGCACGCAAGAAGTGGACACCGTGATCCATCTGCTGTAGACGGCGATGCCAGTTCATGCAGACTAACAGAAGTCCGGCGTTACTGTGCTTCAGTTGAATTGATGGCCACAAGATGGCAGCAGTCGTCTCTGTCATGTTTGTTCTCAGTAACGTCACAGCCGCGTGTGAGGAAGACAGCAATGTGCTGTAAGAGTAAAGAAAGCGTCTGAATAATGAATGAATGAATGAATGATCAAACTAACAGACGCTTAGTAAGAAAGTACCTCACTATTTTCTGTCTATTTCAAATGCTAGTCAACCTCTGATACTTAGCATGTGTACACTCCAGCAGG